CCTCGGCCTCTCAGAGTGCTAGGATTACAGGCGTGAGCCACCGCGCCCGGCCTAGTCTGATGTTTTAAAATTCTATTTAATAACTAAAGACTATGGTGAGCAATGGGTCCAAAGATGAATGCCATAACTAGAGAACTGCCCATGCAGGGTAATGATCTGCTGTTATATTTCAGTTGGCCCTCACCCTCAACTGCTAGGATTTGAAGAAGCAGATATCTGAAGCCACATAGCCAGTTTATCAAAGTCCAACTGTTGTAAGAACAAGAGAACAGAGCTAGAGATAAACCTTGAAGGGATAAAAAGCTAGAATTGGAAGGATACTTCAGAAGAGAGATGAGCAAAAGGAGTTATTAGGCAGAGCTGGAATCTACTCTATGGCCACTTTTGGAAATATTACTGAGATAGACAGCACACAAGTATTTTAGAAAACAATTGTTCTAACTGTTAAATCTTCCATAGTTGATGTGATCTGTGACAAAGAGAATGCTAGTGTCTCAGTGCCTTGTTTAGTTAGTGTTGGAGAATTCTCTACCTTCCATAAAGGGATCCCTGCATTTCTGAATGTGAATTGAGCATCTGGGACCCTGACTCCAAGAGAAGTTTCTTAGAGAAGGAAAAATAGAGCTATAGTTGTAATCTCCTTAGCAGAGAAATCTGGTTTTGTGGAAAGGGGAAAGCTGAGAAGGGAATCACAATACTGCTTTCCCAGGGCTAGTTTGCCCTCAGCCACAGAAGGCTGAGTGGAATGAATTTAAAAAGTACTCCCTCTACTTCTCTTCCCAAATCTGCCCACAAAAGCTGAAATTCCACCAGTAAATGACTTATTCAAGTCAGAAGCTGGTAGTCTAAGACCCTTAAACTATAAAACAAAACCAACAAACTGGTTTCTTTATTTTTAACTTCCATTTCTATAACAGCATTTCCCAAAGTGTGTTATAAAGAATACTAGCCAGAAAGGTGATGTCTGGGAAGCAGGTGCCATTCTTTCTTAATGTTATAGCAGTCATGGTTCTTTAACTGAAAGTTATAGAAATCGGTTCTATCTAGCAAAAACGACAAAAAAGGGACTTTACTATAAGGTTACAGGGATATTTCACAGACCTACACAGCAGAAATGTGGTTGGGCCTTAGGAAGGTAGTGGACTGGAAAACCACCAGAGTTTACTCTCTGTCTGGTCTCCATTTTTTTCTGTACATTTGGTCATTATTCTCTCTCTTCACACCCATTTCCTTTCCTTTGTTGGTTAACATGGTAGAAGATGGCTGCCCACAGCTCCCAATTTTACATGTTCCAGGCATGTCTTATTTTCTCTTGATTTCAGAAGGCAGAATCTGATTGGCCCAAATGGGGTTAAGTGGCTATTTCTAAATCATTAGTTATAACTGGGTGGGGTGTGGGAGAAAGCGGGATCACCTAACATAAGCCTGGTCACTGAGGGGCTGGCCCCATCCATTGGGGGTAGGGGCAGTTCCAAGAGAAAGAAAGGTAAGATAATCATTACTTGAGTGGACATTCCAAGATATTTCTACTATATTCTATCTTCTATCCCTCTGTTACTAAACATAAGTGCGTACTTTATGCTTCCTGTTGAGATTCACGTTACACACAAAGTCAGGAATCCTATTTAACTCTGTCAATTCAGTGCTTTCTGTATTTATTGGATCATGGAATTCATTTGAAAATATGGTCGTTAAGACTCCATGAAATAGTTTGGGAAATGCTGCCCTGAGGAATTGCACTTAAACTCCCAATTTTCAGAAAGAGAATATTAATTTTGTATTCTACTTTGCATTTCAGAAACCTGAGGAAACAATTTGAAAGAAGGACAATAACTGATAGTCCAATAACAGCTATTTATTTCCTTAACAGTAGAAATTGTTAACAAGTCTCCTGATGTGTGATTGCGATTATATTTTTCAAAAGTGTCCTGGGTAGCACAAACAAGTTTCTTTGTGTTGATGGAACAGTTTTTTATCTTGACTGTGGTGGTGGTGACCACATGTGACAAAACTACACAGAACAGCACACACATGCACAAATGAGTGAATGTAAAAACTGATGAAATCTGAATAAGGTACGCAGCCTAGTTAATAGTATTATACCAATGTCAATTTCCTGGTTTTGAAATTATACTATAGTTATGTAAGATATTACAATTAGAAGAAAGTGGGTAAAGGGTACATAGGCCCTCTCTGTACTGTTTTTGCAACTTCCTGTGAGTCTGTGATTAATTCAAAATAAAAAGTTAAAAAAGCCACTTGATGGCTGTGAAAGAAAATGATTTTAGTTTAAAGAATGACACATAAAGAAATACTATAAAATTTCTATGTCATAAAAGGCTCTTAAAGCCAAACAGGTTTACCGATTGCATTTGCTCCGGCCCCTTAAAATTTGATGTTATATATCCCAAAGCCTTTGCCCGTTCTCGATAAAGTCGAATTGCTTGATCCATGGGAACTCTTAATCGGAACCAGAATTCCACTGTGCCAAAATTTGGGATGTCTCCTTTAGTTCCTACAAATCAATACATAACTCACTTTAAAACAGTTCCATAAATTAAAATATATACCAGTAAAAAATACATGAATGGTATTATGCATTAAAACTATACATTTTATGTTAAGTAAAATAATACGACTTTCACAAATGATGTGTGATTGGCAAACAACATACTTCTGAAGTATGAGTTTCACTGTATTTTAAATATTATTAAAGAACTCCATCAGACTGTGTTTTAGCTATTCCAATTTATACTATTTCAATCTTCCTGCAATATGTAAAAGAAACTAAACATTGAGTCGAGTACTCTAGATTCTTCCTGCTGTTGTAGTACTATATTTTAAACAAGTTGTACTCAATGTAGTCTGATATTTATAGTATGAAACATGAAAATTATAAATATAACTTTCCATATTCTAATTCAACTTTCAAGAAATCTTTGGACCTTCCCATTTCTCTACTGTATCATAAGTACAGGGGAAAAAACGTCACAACTGTGTCAAATATATACCATCTGCAATATATCCTCACACGATGTTTCCCCTGCATGTCCTCAGTACCCCTCTCAACTCAGGCAGCTCTTAATGTTGTTTCCTCTTTGAAGACTTCCTGTCAGGCTCCTAGGACACTTAAGAGCCCGATGCTTCCTTCACAGACCCTGCATGTCCTCATTAGGGCACTGACTGCTTTGGCCTAAGTGTCTGTTCACTAGTCTGTTTCTCCAACTAACGATAAGTTTCTTGAAGGCAAGGGCCACAGTTTTCACCAATATACTCCTACCAGAGGGACTAGTACATAATAGTACTCAATATTTGTCAAATAGAGAATATTCTATTCATAAACTCTTCCGAACATACCATATTATTAAAAAGATTACCCCTACTCTCTCCTACTTCATCAATTTCTTTTTTGCTAATGGATCATTCTCATCAGCATACAAACATAATTTAACATCTGCCTGCTCTGGTTTAAATGTTTGGACCCTCCAAAACTCATGTTCAAATTTAATTGCCATTGTAACAGTATTAAGAGGGGGGACCTTTATGAAGTAATTAGGCCATGAGAGATCTACCCTCGTGAGGAATTGGTGCCACTATAAAAGGTTCAGTTTGGTAGCTTCTTGCTCTCTCTTGCCCTCTTGCCTTCTGCTATGTTATTATGTAG